CCTGGAGCATCTATTTTACCGCCAGCCAAACTCCCAAATACCTGCGCAGGACCGGAATATTTGGATTGCCCGCAGATTATGGTCGGGAACTGATTCTATTCTCTGTAGTTGATCAAGGCTAATAGTCTTAAAACACCCGCATTCAGTCAAATAAATTAAATACATCTCAGTTATATAAACTAAAAGACTTTGAGGCAGGAAGACTCACAACTTTGATGGACAGGCAAAAGCAGCTATATTTAGAATATAGTCCAGATAGCCACATCTCGACCAGAGCCAAATTTGCCACATTTACCAGCCATACATACAGCTAGATGTAGGAATACAATATAGATTTCTGTATTGTTTTGGATAAAAACATGTGTTTTTGAAAATGGCAAACACCTACTTCTCAAACAGCCAATTTGTACAAACAGACTGATGTTATCAGATTCAATCTTTTAGCTGTTCCCAGTGAAATGTGGCAATGGGGAGCATTTTTTAAATCAGAGTGATGAATTCCCCAAGAGCCAGATCATCCAGCTCACTGGTCATGCAGCAGAAGTGTACCTTGCTTCAATAAGACTCAAAATGACCTTGAGTACCTTGTCCTGCTGCTCCTTAAGCAAGGAAAACTGCTGTGTGGCGTTTCAAATGGATCAAAATGTGTTGCTGTTGGATGGTTTGGATCTTACTGAAAATCTCTTCTGTAAGTGGGATGTTTGCACAGTTTGGCTAGTTGACCACTTAAGGCATTTTTCAAAAATACAGTTTCTCCTGTATGAAGTTAAAGCCCACCCCTCTCCTAGAAAAATGAAATATCCTGGGAAATATTGAAAAAGGCAGAATATTATATTTCCCTGGGTAGGAAACAGACTCACCTTTGTCAACGGGTCATTAAAATGCCTCAGCCAGTTTATAGCAAAGATCCCCCACCCCCCTTCAGCTCCAGGGTGATGGGATAAAGGCATGATAGTATTAGCCCTTTACCCATTTCACCACAGGGCATCTGGGAAGAAGCAATGCTCAACCAAACTTGGACTCAAAACAGTCTAGAGAGTTGCCCTTGCATGGCTCCATGGGAGTCTGACAACCAATCAGAATACAAGATCAAGATCAAAGGCCCGAGAGGGTATAAAACCATGAACTTTCAGCATCTCGCTCCCTTCTTCACCCAACATCTTGAAGCCTGTGATCACCTTTTTCCCCAGGACCTCAAACCATGTGGTCCTGTCCACCATTAAAACCATCTTTCCAAGCAACCTCCATGTTTCCAGTGTCTCTTCCCCCACTTGGAACTGAACCCAGAAGGACATTTCTTCCAACAACCCCAAAATGGCAATAAGAATATGGATTTATGGAACTTCTGTATTCCATCAAAACCCTCTAGTTTTGTGCCATCATTGAATGTGTTCTGCTTGATGAATTAGAAAATCATGGGTGGTGTATCTTCTCTGTGGAATTATTGTGATCAACGACTTGCATTTTGTATCTTTGTGTACTCACATTCTATTCAAACAAATCAATAACTTATAGAAGGTTCTATTCTCAGAAGGTTGCTTAACTCAGCTTTCTATAATAGTGCTTATTTAAGTAATTTAGAAATCTATCAATATGTCAATATGATGCTGAAACGTATTACGTTATTTCAAGAGTTCTTATCCTTTTTTGTGCGATGGACCACTTTTAGAGTCTTGTAAAACCTACAAACACCAGTTATGTTCAAATACAGCTATCGAAATATAAAAATAGATATAATATAGTAATACAGGTGAAGTTATTTTCCAACCTAAATTCATAGATTCCCTAAATTCTATCCAGACTCTTCCCAAGGGGTTTTTGGGCCCAGGTTAAGAACCCTACACTTCTTGATGTGAATAAAATATGTGTCCTATATGGGAAAGAGTGTGACAGCACATGCCTACCACTTAAAACTCTGGAAACTTTTTAGTATTTCATGACTTTAAAATGCTTGAAAGAACTTGGGCAACTATACAACACTTGACTTTTTACCATGCCTAGGTACTTGTAATAGCAATCAATATCTCAATGCAATTTCAATTTCTAAATCTAAATTCAAAAGCATGAATTTATCTTTAGAGTTACTAACAGAGAAATGAAAACATGCTCCTTGCTTTTACTGATACTAGCTTTATAATTTTAGCAGCTCTGCAACACGACATCAGGACTTATGGCTTATTTGAAGAGTATAAAAACACAAAAACATAACGCGTTCAGTCTAACAAATGAAAGTTCTCAGCTTCAAAAGGTTCTAAAATTCTTCCAGCAATCTAGCCTTGAAACTTCAAAAAGAAAAGCTATACAAAAACTATCATGACCTTGTCTCTTTCTGATGCATGTTTTGTATTCCCTCAGGCAGTGAATAATTCTGCCAGTTTTAATATATCCATCTCTTTTCAAATCAATATTCAAGTTTGGAGAAACTGGAAACTTTTGACTCCTGACTTTCTCTCTCATTTTAATCACTGCAGGTTAAGCATATAAGGCATGGCAAGAAAGATGATTTTATAGAATTAGGGATTTAATTGTAAACCTGAATATATTTTATAAAAGTGCTGCTAAGAAGCATCAATCTGGTTTCAATTGAACAAAGTACAAATTATATCAGTAAGGGTTATTAGTAATATTTTAAATATACATATATAATAAAGAACTGTCAAAAATGTAATCTCAAAATCTTAGGCTGCTTTTGAGAGTCTAAAGTAGGGATGTCAAACTCACGTTGTCACATGACGTATCAGAACTTTTTCGCCCCTTTGCTAAACCGGGCATGGGCGTGGCCAGCACATGATGTATCCGGGGCCGGAGTGGGGGGGGAAGGGAGTTTGACAGCCCTAGTCTAAAATATGCAGGATAATTTGGGTACAAAACCTAATGAATCTCATCAGACTTTCTTGTGGCAAACAAATTCCTTTTACAGTAAATTATTTCAGCAAGTCCCCATGAATCTATATGTTATTTAAACTGTTTATCAGGGTATGACCTTTACCTGGCTGAAATGTTGTATCATAGGGCCAAAACTTTTGAAGGTACCTCAAATGGGCTAACTTACAAATGCATGCAAAATCTGGAACCCATGTCTCCCATGGAATTGAAATTTGGCAAATTTTATAAAACATTTTGACATAAACGTAAAAGATTATATGACTTAAATACAGAATTTGTTTTGTGGTTAATTGCTTATTTTTAACTGCTAAAGGGTTCAACATAGGTTATTTTACAGGCAAATATATCTCTGAGTATCTCTCTGAATTTTTAAGAATTTTTCCAATGAAGGCAGTACATTAGAAGCTCTGCCAATGTTGAAGGCTTTGAGAAATCTGGTAAGAAATATCTCTGAAATGATAATCAAGGGGTCATATAGGTTGTTTACCATAAAAATAATTTGTAGGTGATATTATGCCTTGCTAACATTGCATTATTATCCTGTTAGTCAATGTTTTGGCTAACAGGATAATTTGAAAGATTTGGAAGAATAAATAATAAGTCAATTATCTTCAATACTAAATCCTGAGGTTGGTTTACTATCTATATTTTATAATACATGTAAATCAATCCACCTAAGAAATTAATTCATTTTTTCTTACTACCTGCTTTATTTTTATTGTAAAATGTAGAGATACTGAAATCTTTTATTGGAACAATGATATTGAAAACCATAGAACATTGTTTTGCTGAAAAATTATTACAATGAATAACTTTGGAAAATTATAGTGGAAAAATTCAAGTAATTTGATTATCATTTATTATCTCTATTAACGTTTTCTTAATAGATTAGTTTTGATAATACAAATGTCATTGTATACAGTCGTATTGAACATGAATGTTTAAAATGTTTGTATTTTTTTTAATTATTGTCATTTTCCAATATATTTGTGTTTGTTAGACTTTTTAAAAGTTTGTATTTTTTTTATTCTGTGATGCAAAATAAAAAATAAATCTTTTCTTATATGCATTTACCATCATTCTTTATTTTCATTTCTGTTATTTACATTTGTGTACATTTTGTTGCATAGTTTCACAAAGCAAAAACATCGCAATGTTTGTGTACATCCTGTTCCACAGACTTGCAAAAACAATACACCAGTATGGCTGATCTTTGAAATAAATATTTAGGCCACTAGATGGCAGGGTTCCTTTTTTATTTCAGTTTTGCTTTATAACAGGTGCCCTTCCAATTCTGCATTCTTGCTTAACTTTTTTCTTCATGTTTTAACTCTGATCTATGTTTTAAAGGCAGCAGTTTCCTCATACATAACAGGACACAAGCTATCCCTATTATGTACCCTGTGAAAAATTATACCATATGTGAGGACCTGTTATTTCTCATAGGAGGATTCCTTTGGTTGCAGTTAATTTCAGGCCGCATTTCTGAGTTCCAAATTTCTTATGTACGAACATAAAGTTCTTCCAAATGAATTCCAGCCATTAATACTGCAGGTAGAGTAAAACAAGACTATATCCAGCCTAGTTTTGCAAAGTCAGCCACTACATTTCCAAAACACATGGCGTTAGCATCTGCTTTAAAAATAATAATTGCCAAACATTCCTTTTATTTCCTTGTATTGTTTTATTTTTTTTCCTAAACTAAATTATTGTAGTTTATCATTTGTTCTGAAACAAGGTGATTTTTTTAAAAGTGAAATGTAGCATAATATTTAGCACTGTAACATTTAGAATAATTATCATAATGAACCCATGGAAATATATAGCTTGTCACCATTTCAAAATAGTCAAGATATCCCATTCACGATCCCATTATTATCCTATCCTGTGTGACATTACAAGAAGTAATGTCACACAGGATAGGAAAGCTTTTCATGGCCTGTCAAATGTTTTGTCTGGTAGAAGGCCTAACTTCTGTACTGCCAATCTTACTGCTTGTTTGTTTACTAAATTTAATAGCTTGTGTTATGTTGTTTGGGATTTTAAATTTTTATATTTAAATGTTTCAGTTTTGTTATTTATGTGTTATCTTAAACATTGAAAAAATCAAGTCAATAAATAAATAATTAGAACTGAAGCTGAAGTATACCTTTCCACAGCCTGATCTCCCAGATATATTATGTATCAGTTCTTAACATCTACAGCCTTAAATAATATGAAGGAATAGTCTCAAAATACATTGGAATTGATATGAGTTGTAATATTCAAGAAACTGTTATAACTTAAAACAAATTCTCTCATATCTTTCCTAGATAGTTTCAGAAATATATCTAAGGAAATTAAAATGGGATGTGAAATAAAAAATAATGCTTTTTTTCTATGTCAAAACAAAGTTGCCAAACTCTAAATATTTTCATACTTGTAATACAAAACACATATGCTCTTTTGACTGTGGTGTCAAAACACTGGCATCTGGAATAATGCTCTTGATAATGTGCTATTGGTGATGCTGATAATGTGTATACATGAAATACACATTATGGTGCACATGAAGGGGATGTACATTTTACTGCACCTGTTCTCCTGGGCCCACCCAGCAGGATGACTCCCGATTAAGAAGACCAGAACTCTGAGCGTGTAGCATCTGCACTAAGAGGTCTGTAGCTAAGGTGTGAGAAGGTTCTTCAAATCCAATTGTTAGGAGCTGCTGATAATCGCCTGTGGGCTGGTGACACAACACCCTGAGTGAAGAAAAAGGGAGAAGTCAGAGGTGATCTTTATAGCCTCCATCCTACCCAGGTAAGTACTCTGGAGATTGGAGTTCCCTTGTTTAATAATTAAGCATTCTTAGGGCATTCCTGTAGAATGCTTTAGAAGTACATGGTAAGTATTATCTGGCACGAAGTTATGTTGCATATTTGTCTTCTCAAAAGGTGGGTATATTCAGATGAAAATCAGTTTACATTCTATTCAATCATGCATTTGTCCTATTCTGTTTTCTCATTTTTTTCTAATACAAGATATTTGGATGAGCAGCCTGTCTTATTTTTGTATGTATGTTTAACACTATGTCTCAAAAGTCAAAGAAATTTGAAAAGCAAGAGACATAGAGCAAATGAACTGTAATGAATGTGTGGCTTTCTTCCATATCAGTACTTTCAGATGGCTGCCTGTTCTTTACAGTTGTACTAACACAATATTCCCAGTTTTTTTTAAAGTAAGTGGAATAATAATAATGGAAAAATAAGATAGAAAGCACAGGCGCTTTTCACTTGGAAGACTACCATCCTTTTGGAGGCAACAGAATATCTATATAGATAAAGTGTTCTCTGGAACCATCAGGTATCTATTATAAAACTATCTTTTCCTAGAGATAGGTATAGAGTCAGTATTGATCTTTTTACATTTTGTGTTTGAATCTTCAGAAGTGCTTCTTTGTATATGTTTTTCAGAAAGTGCTTATTGTTGACAGTCAGTCATCAGTCACAGTATTGAATTCAGTCATAATATTGAATCAAGCAGATGGCATCATCTACATTTGTTTTTACCACAATAAAAATGAGTGGGAAGTTTCAGCACACACTCACACAGAGAATCAATTTTATCCCACGCATTTCAAGTACATCCCACATTATAAAAATAGGAAAGTGTTTTAGAATAAAATTGCAATAGTGTTGTGGTATGCAATACTCTAAATTTCCTGTGTAGAATACTTATTCAAAATTTCCCATTAGAATGTTTATTAATGCCAAAGACAATGCAAGCTATTTCAATTGTAATTTTAATAGATATAAATCTGTGTGTGTGTTTGTGTGTGTGTGTGTGTGTGTTTTCCTTTAACAAATTTGGAAGCATTAATATACATAGTTAAAGTACTCTTTCTGAACATAATCTTGGTAGGAACATAGCTACCAAGGGAAAGTAGCAATGATGGAGCATTCCAATGATGGAATGATGGCCTGTCTATTCCACCTTCAAACATGGTTCACTAATGCACGAGTGACTAGCACAGTTGTACATTATTATATAGTTTTATCAGGTTTATCCTTTAAGAACAATATTGGAGATTGGAGATAATGTATTTGAATACCTAAGGAAAATTCTATGTAAATAAAATGTTTGTATAGTGATAGAAGTGATGCTGCTGCAGCATCACTATTACTTAAGAGGATACAAAACTTTAGTTTTCCATCAATGATTAGGCCCTCAATTATTTAAGTGCAAATGTATAGCAGTCTTTAGATATCTCTGCAATAGAAGAGGTAATTGTTCAAATAGGTACCCTATTTTCCCCAAAATAAGACCTCCCTGGATAATAAGCCCAATCAGGCTTTTGAGCAAATGTGCTAAAATAAGCCCTCCCCGGAAATATTGCAACACACCAGCAGCCATGAGGTGATCACGCTCGCCGCCTCCTGCACCTCAAAAATAATAAGNAATCTGGAATGAATCTCAATTACCCTCCACAAACTAAAGATATAAGAACTTTGAAGAGTTTTTCTATTCTGGAATGTATTTTTCCTCCCCTCTTGTCATTCTCAAGTTAGTGCCACAAAGATACAAACAAGAGTAGTTTTCTCTGCTCTCCCCCCCACAACCCAGCTGGATGGAATAGGACCAAGGGCTTCAATGGAAACACTCACTCTTTTCCGGACTGGCTCCTGTGGAGGTCTTAAATAAGGTGTGCAGCTGCGTGCTGTTGATTCCAAATAGTGGAAATATGGCTGGCACATCTGCAAAAAGGTGGGCATGGCTTTGGCAAACTGTTCCTTCTGCATTCTGTCTCTGCTGAAAATAGGAGAGCACTAACGTCAAGGAGAGCCCCTGCCTTTACTCCCTGCTCAGCACTATTCTGTGACACACTTACTAGTGCTACTAAACACACACACACACACCTGGGGCATATATATGATACCATAGCAATAACTGCAGCCTGGGTTCAAAATCTGGAAGATTCCTCTTTTTAACTGAGATATGGCAAAAAGCTTGGTAGAAGAATCTATCGATATTGCTGCCTTTGGCCACCAGGATGCCTACTGGAAATCAGCAAGGAATCAGGAATGAAGTGCCTTACATACTATCCTAATGGGAAAAATAATACAGAAATTCTCTCATATCTGAATTCCTGCATTACCTTATTCAATGCCTTCCCATGCTTTTTGATATTGCTTTTTGAAACAAACCATAACTATAACAACAATTTTTTAAGATTTTTAGAAAAACAGAGTTTAGCATGTTCAATTCATGATTTATCCTATTCTGAAGAAGGGGTCTAAAAATAGGAGAAAACACTGGGACAAAATAAAAAGTAATGGATGACTTGGCTTTATTAAGGGCTCTCTTCTGTATTACTAGTCAGAAACCAAATATTAGCAATAGCAATAGCAGTTAGACTTATATACCGCTTCATAGGGCTTTCAGCCCTCTCTAAGCGGTTTACAGAGTCAGCATATTGCCNGATTAGGCCCTCAATTATTTAAGTGCAAATGTATAGCAGTCTTTAGATATCTCTGCAATAGAAGAGGTAATTGTTCAAATAGGTACCCTATTTTCCCCAAAATAAGACCTCCCTGGATAATAAGCCCAATCAGGCTTTTGAGCAAATGTGCTAAAATAAGCCCTCCCCGGAAATATTGCAACACACCAGCAGCCATGAGGTGATCACGCTCGCCGCCTCCTGCACCTCAAAAATAATAAGACCTCCCCAAAAATAAGGCCAAGTGCTTATTTTGGGGGTCAAAAGAAAATAAGACATTGTCTTATTTTTGGGGAAACATATATGACTGGTCAGTGACAATTTAAAGTTATACTGGATCTCCCTTGAGATACCTATAACCTAATGGCCACCCACACACACATTTATAGCCATTTGCAGTGTCCCATAAGCATATGACTGTGCTTTATGAAGTGGTTGCCGAAAGCATTTATTTCTGGTTTTCAACAAAACTCATCCATAGCAAACAATTGGTTTACTTAACAGCTGCAGCATTCACTAATAACCACTGCAAAAAGTGTTGTAAAATCAGGTCAGTCATATGGGTGACTCACTTTATGATTGTTACAAATTATGACCATAATGGCCAAACTCCATTATGGTCATAGAGTGTAAACTACATGCAGGATAGCTTTAATTCAATCCCAGTTAAACCAACCTTCCCAAGTTGATAGGAAAGATCTCTTCCCATCATTGTGATGAACATTGATAGTCAAAAGAAAACAATGCTAGGTTAAAGGGACAAAATAATTCAACCTAGCACAGAGCAAATGTATAATATACAACAGCAGGAGGGGAGACACGTTGACAAGAACCAGAGGTACAAAATGGGAAAAAAACAGTCTCCAAGGACACATGGCTTGGGAATCAAATGTGAAAGTGCATTGGGAGGCGCCAAGCTCCAAGCCATCCCCAAAACATCATAAAGGCATCTTATTGGACATGGATGGACTGGTCAAGTGGGGGAGGGCTGGGGAAAGGTGGGAAAGTGTAACCTTTGCATGGGCATATTCAGATCTCGTTTTACTTTCTCTGCAACCACCTAACTGTAGTGAAAGAATGTATCACTTCACCAAATGGAGTTGAGGGTCTTTCTTTCCTAAAAGTCTATGTTTGGGCAGGTCTGACAAAGTATTTTGAAACCCTACCAATACTAATTAAATATTCTTCAACCAAAGCATCAACCCAAAGCAATTCCCTCAAGAGAAGTTGTATAAGAATATTATTTAGGTAAGTACAAACTCACTGAAGCTACCCGGTATGCCAGTAAGAGGAAGCAGATCACCTATACAACATCATCTAACTGAAGGCTCAGGGAATTTTGTCAAAAAGTCCCTGATCAGACAATCTGTTGCAGCAGTTTGTAAAGGATAACACTCCTGCATGTCAAAAACATCTTGGAGACAACCAACAGAATACTACAACCACTTCATATCACAAAAGCACACAAATTAATCAATGCCCTTCAAAAATTGTAAATAAACCAAGAGATCCAGTAGCCTAAGAATTGCGTCATCTACAACATACAATGTAAGGACTGTAACAGCCACTATGCAGGACTTACTGGCAGATGATTAGCAGAACACATCCATGAACATCAACTAGCAGTCAGAAGGCATGATGAAAACTCCTTAATCTCACAACACATGAGCAAATCCAACCACAGTTTCAACTGAGAAACTATTTGCAATCCCCCTCCCTTCAATTTAGTCATGTCAGATTTTTGGAAACTGCCTGGACAAGTTCCTGCAGTTTTCTTGGCAAGGTTTTCCAGAAATAATTTGTCATTGTTTCCTTCCTAGGGCAAGAGAAAGTGACTGACCCAGATAATCCAGTTGTTCAAAATGGGACTAGAATTCACACTGTCCCAGTTTCTAGCCTGATGCCTTAACCATTACACCATTACATTAAGTCAGTCTGTATAAGTGTTATGCCAATGGCCTATATCCCTAGTTCTGCACACCTACCAGGATAGTACATCAGAACTGTGCTCACTGTCAGGATCTATAGGCACCCACCGTCCTATGGACCAAAGCTTCTGCATTTTCACAGTTGTTTCATCTCCTGTATCACGGAAGCATAGGAAGTAGCTACAACACAAAGATTGCATGGAAGCAGTGAATTGGTTGGCTGATCAAACAGCCTCTGGAAAACTCAAGAAATAAACATTAGTTAAGACCAAACAACGAATTATTTTGATATAACATGGAGTCTTTCATCATCAGAAGTATAGAAAGGGAGATGTGTTTTTAAATGATCTGTCTAGCTAGGTCATATCGACTCTCCCCATGTAATTCACTGCTGTATGAGATCATCCAACATCATTGGATGAGATATCAGTATGCAGATGATAACTCAGCTCTGCATCTCCATTACCAATGATCCAAGTGATGCCGTGGCTGCTATTTTACAGCACATGGAAGCTGTGGGAGTCTGAATGGGGGACAACAGGCTACAACTGAACTCTGGTAAGATGGAGTGTTGTGGGTTCAAGGGGCCTTGGGATCTGGTTGTTTATCATCTTTAGTTCTGGATGGGATTGCATTCTCCCAGCCAGACCTGGTGTACAACCTGGGGATTCTCCTACAGTCATGCCTTCCGCTCAAAGATCACATGGCAATCATGTCTATAAGGACACTTGCACAACTTCATATTGTGAACCAGTTACACTTTTATCTGGATCTGTGCAAGTCACTCATGCCATGGCCATCTCTCAGTTGGATTGCTGTAGTGCATTCTACATGAGGCTACCCTTAAAGACTATTTGGAAGTATTAGTTTTTACCTTTAAAGCATGGGTCCAGGGTATCTGAGGAGCTACTTTTCCCCAGTGGGACTTGCCAACCCTATTCACTCCAGTGGAAGGAGCCTATCGCAGACCTCACCTGCTAAACAATCCTGGCTGGTGAGCTCAAAGAGAAGAGCCTTTCTGCTGGGACCCCAACATTCTACCATAAGAGACAAAAACTGCTCCCACTCTTTAAGCCTTCCAGCAGAGTATCAAAACCTGGTTTTGCCAGTTGGCTTGGCAAAGGGCCTTGAGGAGGTGCTCACTGCTGGACATAATTGATGGGTAAGATGAAGATCTCATGTCTTGGTTCTAGTTTTTTTATATAGCTTTTTGAACTTTAATTGCTCGTATATTTATATTTTTATTGTTTGTAAGTCACCCAAAGTAGCCCTATCAGTGAGGTGGGTAGCATATAAATTTAATAAATAAATAAAAATAAAATAAATCTCCTCAGTATCTCCAGCAACTCACTATTCTGTCCGGAGGGTTTGATTCCGAGCAGCATACCCCTCCAAGATGTCCAGGTTCCAGCGCATCTTCTTATAAAGATTGTGGGGAATATGAGCAGCTGTGTACGGTGCTGAGATGCAGTAGCGAAAGATGGAAACTTGCCAAGTCTCATTCATCCAAAATTTCCCACAGAAGAAACATGATACGCTGGTGGAGATTTTGAGACAAATATGGAGTGACAGATATGTTTGTGCATGTAAGTAAGAAGAGAGTTTAGGCAACAGAGCAGATTCGAAACCAAGAGCAATTTCCTCTTTCTTGGACAAAAATAAATAAATCAGTAACTTTTGAAGAAAAATTATCAATGTGAGCCTAAGTTATCAAAACATAATGGAACCTTAGGCTTCCTTTCAGTATTCCTGAAAATGGGATAGGATCGTCCTAGATTTAGACTTTTTTAAACAGGCTCGTTAGGCAAACTTTAAAAAGCTACTCAATTTTCTGTCTGTTAACAGTCTAGGACTGTGATGGCAAACCTATGGCATACGTGCCTGAAGTGGCACAGGTGGCGTCGCCCATTCCTCTTCTGGGTTTCTGGTGTGCATGTGCACGTGATGATCAGCTGGCCTTTGTGGGTGCTGCAGTGCCAGAAACCGGAAGAGTTGGTCTTCCTTTTTCCGGCGTGAGCATGCACATCCAGTTAATAGGCACATGCACATACGTGGCAGTAACCAGAAGAGTTGCTTGTTGGAGTGCATGTGTGCGCCGAAAACCAGAAGTACATTATCCAGTGCGCCCGTGCCCCCTGGACAGCTCCTCTTCCTGGTTGTGGCCCAGATGAGCATGTGCACATGCTTGAAGGGCGCCCGTGTATGCAAAGTGCTCCCTTTTCGGCACTTGGTGCTGAAAAAGTTTACCATCACTTGTCTAGGGATACTTGAGAGAGCAAAAACACACCATAAACGTGTGCTTTATGGGACATACCAAATATTGGCTTTATTTGGAATAACATTTTCTCCAATTCTACACAGTTGAATGATTAGCAAAGATAATTCTGAAACATTTGCCTAACCTTGCATCATCTTGCATTGGCTAATTTGTTTTAACAGTTTTTGTTTTAACATATATATATATATATATATATATATATATATATATATATATANCAGAAAGGAAATAAAATGGGGTAAAATTCATTTAACAAGTATCTTGCTTACGATCTGAAATGTTGGTCTTAAATGTGGTCGCAAGTCGAGGACTACCTGTAAAAACAGGAACTTAGTCTAACACACATCCTATTTTGTTTTCAGGAAAAAAAGGAAGCTGAATAGCCACTTCTCATCTTTCTTCATAGAAAAATGTGAAGTTTTTACCTGGGAACTAACCGTGTTTCAGAATATCTGTTTTGTACTATGATGCTGTTGTGTGAGTCACACATAATCCAGATTTTTGTAGTGATGGAAATAAGATGTACATGTGAATCTGTCTCCAAGTTCAATCTTATCTTCAAAAGCACTTCCACGTAATGAGCTTTTACAATCATATTTAAAATTCTGTTATACAGTTAATGAAAATATATACCGTTTTTCAATGCAAATTAGTAAAATAATCTGAATAATTTTAAAGAACTTTAAAAAGGATTTACTGCCATCTAAGTGGGCATAACAGTGATATTTCCCCCCCAAAAGCTACAAAGAAAAACATCCCATTTTAAATGTTATTGAAAGTTTTATGACCTGAAGAATTCTTTGAAGAACTAAAAAGAATAAAAGCCCCCAGCAATTTAACAATCATTTTATATTATGGGGAAATTTTCATGGAATATATATTTGCTTTCTTGTCTTTTCAGATGCTTCTTTAGGGTATGTGATGGACCAGTATTTTTTAGCAAAAACTTGAATGTGAACATTTTCAATGAGTGTTGAACTCTTTTTTTTATTTTTTAAGGAACTCTAAAATACTTCAGGAGAAAGATTCCCACATGTAGATATTTTGTTATTAGCAAACTGGCACTAAACTCTGCCAGTTTCACAAACTGAAACTGAAATTGGCAGAAAGCTAAATATACAGATAACAGAAAAATCTCATCAGTTAGGTACCCTATGGCCTACTTATTTTCTAACTTTTTATTCTCTAAATTAATTCTAATTCTGAACATATTTAAGATAAAGTCAAAATGTTAATTTCTAATTAATTAGAAATTTCTCACCTTGAACCTATTAATTTCTACAACTAACCTATTNCAACCTTGAGCCGGTGAGATTTGAACAGCCGAACTGCAGAACTGCAGTCAGCTGAAGTAGCCTGCAGTGCTGCATTTAACCACTGCGCCACCTTATATTCAAATCATGACAGATACCCAAACATAAAGAACGGTTATATCTGAGTTTCATCCAGATTAACCCAGAGCAGGCATAAGGTAGATACAGATATTTTTTTCTTAATTAATTTTGAAGACATAGGCCTTTTTGCTCTGTTGAACTACTTTTTACTGCCCTTGATTTGGTAAGAAACTACACCAGCTGTCATGTTGCGGGGAGGGGATTATCAAAACAGTTATGGTATGTTAGACATCACAATAGTGTCACTAAAGTCAGCCAGCCCTTTATAAAATATATGAGACAGATACATAAGAAAGAGACAGGACTTAGATAACATAGTTGCATCACCATCTTGATTTTTTTTTACCTACCCCCATGGATGGACCTGTATATCAGCAAGAAATTTGCTACCTTCATTGCTAATCTACCTCTTGCCTTTATTACCTGGATTCACTGTTGCTGTTTGTGACTTGATCTCCTCCAAGTTAATGGATGACAGAAGTTTAAGTGTCTTGAGGCTACCCTTGGATAGTGTTGGAGTAAGCGCAAAAATGTTTTACAGCAAAGGATGACTTATTCTTATATCATAAACTGGGGATTGAATTAAAGAAACATCATGGAGGAAGAAATGCATACCGAACAAGCTCACAAGAAGTCCAAGATCTTCTGATCAGGCATATGATATTTACTGAAGTTAGCAAACCAGGTTCAAACAATCTCAGAAATTGCTGTTTCAAAAATAAGCTCTACACAGAGGAAAAGCATTCGGGACTTATTGCATTTCTCTTTCCTGTCTGCAAGAGAAGAGCTGCTGGGCAGATTGAAAGCAGTTGTGTTCCTTCCTTCCACTCCTTTGGAGTGGAATTGCCAATACAACAGCAGCTCTCCTGAAAAGAACAACCAAAACATGGCCGTGCAATAGAGAAGTATGAACTACATCAATAAGTAGATATAGTTGTGTAGCAATATGGAGATATAGAAGATAGATATTGTACAGAAGTTCAAAGTAATACGGTAGAAGTGTAGCTGTAGAACTAAGAACACTGGAATAGAAGTAACCTAATGGGGAAAATAGACATGGCAATAGTAATACATAAGTAGTTAGAGTGAAATATAAGACATTGGCCAAGAAATAAGACCTATAGTAAATAAGACAAAGATACAGAGGGAAACCAAGCAAAAATCCAACTAGCAATCATTCAAAAGCACCTATAACACTGTCCAGCATATCAAACTTTTAGCTCCCTCTTTGGGGTGGATTGGCTGATTTCCATTTGTCTTTTGCTTTTGCATCTGTCATATTTTCTATTGGGTTGCTTGTTATTGTGAGATGCCCACAGAAACCATTTCATAGCCAGATTTCACTTTGTGAGATTTATTTTATTCTTCATCTGAATTCCAAGATCAACAAACCTGAAGCTTGAGACAAAATGCACACTTTTACAATAGAAAGATTCGAGCCCAGAAGTCTGAATTGAAATCATTTCCATCTCAAAATGGTTCTATTAATCTTTTGCTTTTGATGGAGGAATAAAAAGCCATTTTATTATTGTTTATTTAAGTTGTTTTGTTAACATTTGGGTTTCAGAAATTTTTGATCATTTAATTAATTTCCCCCCTGTAGTATCTTCAAAACTCACTGAAGTTGAGCTCACTTCCTAATGGTTATGTTCATATAGTTTGCTTTGGTAATAAAGTGAAAGTATTTTTGCATTCATATTTATTTTCACTTTTCAATTGCTAGAATTCTACAGCTGTGGAATTTCCTGGTGGCTTCTATCTAGGTATTACACAATCCTTTTAAGATTTTTGAAATCAGCCAAGGTTGGCTGGTGCAGACGTGTGCTGGGCACTGCTGCTTTAGATATTATATTATCCTTGGCCATGTTAAAATAATTAAAGTCAAGTTTCAGCATCATGCTGTCAAAAATCTGCTAATATTTCCATATCTTAACCCACCTGTACAGAAGGTAAGTCTGGAAGTCCTCTGCTTTCTTCAGCAAATATTTCAATTTTTCAGTTATTGGAGCAAGCAACTTTTCTAAAGTGATGTTCATTTCTGATGGAGTCTCAGGCTGTGGTTGAGCATTGCTCAGCCAGTGAGATTCTGCAATTGGAGGAGATATAAGACATAGTCCTGGACTATGAGGACTGAGACTCGGGGTGCCTTCAGGGCTAGATATTGGAATATCCAGAGAGCCATCTGAGAGACAACTGTACCCTTGCTTACTGGCCATCTTCAATGACCTGCTTCAGGCAATCTGCCAAGAAAAAGACAGGGAACTAAACATCTAGATATCTTAAGTATCTTCAGAGTGCTACCAAATAAAAATGGAAATCTCAAAATAACAGCTTTACCTTCCCATGCCCTTTTTGTTACTGAAGTATATTGATTAGTATTATGATCATGAGTTTGAGGTTTACTGAATGACCACTGACACCTGTAATTCAATGTATCCTATCACACAATTTGTGAATAAAATTGACATAGCAAATTCCTTAAAGAATATGTGGGTACAAATGTTTTAAAGTAAATGATTCAAATTACTATTATGCATTTTTTTCAAAATATATGTGTAGATCAGATGAGTGACACAGTGGCCTAGAGGTGAAGGCTCTCACCTCCTACTTGGAAGATTGAGATTCAATCCTAGATAGTTCAATCCTAGATAGTGACATTTGTTTCTCTATCAGGGCACGAAGAGAAAATATCAGCTGTGAACTCCGCATAGGTGTCAGGAAGGTCATCCAGTCAGTAAATGCTCAGCTCCATTCAGTTGCCCCCGACTCCACCCCAAATCAAGGGATTACAGGGTTGTAAAAAGAAAAAAAATGTGTACACCGGCCAACTGAGAAGATGCACTACAGCTAGTATATCATGAAGGCTTACTGGGTACTGGAGAGATCAAACCGGCCTACAAGAAAGACCAACCAAATGAAACTAGAAAAAAAGACATGCCAGGGAAAAATATTACATGACCAGTACATTAAAAAAAATAGGCAAGGCAGATAAATCTGGCAATGGCTAAGAGAAGGGAAATAAAGAAAGTGTCAGAAGAGCTAATTCCGGCTGCAATAGGCCAAGACTTAATGAATACAAGACCAGAATTGAGATATAGCAACAGACAGCAAATGCCGCTTCTGCAAAGAAGCTTAAGAAACGATGGACCACCTAGTTAGCTGCTGCAGGAAGGTTGCAGAGACTGACTATAAAAACAGCATGACAAAATAGCAATAATAGTGCATTAGAATAACTACAAGAAATACCATTTGCCTGTCAGCAAGAACTGGTGAGGCCAAAGTAATAGAAAAGGAAGAAGCTAAAATGCTCTCTGACTTCAGAATTCAAACAGACAAGCATCTGTCATATAACACCCCAGACTTAACTTTTTGTAAGAAAGAAAAAAGTCTGGCAAGCGAACATTGCAGTATCTGGAAACAGCAGAATAAAAGTGATAGTAGTAGAGAAACTCATAAAATGCGAAGACCTGAAAACATATGTAGAATAACTGGCAAAAGAAATAGAGATAGTAATAGGTGCCTTAAGTACAATCCCAAAACATCTGCCACTTGAATACCATCAGCATTGACAAAATCACCACCAGTCAATTGCAAAAGGCAGCTTTACCCGGAACAGCTTACATCCTGATGATAACCTTTAACACCATCAAATGAAAACCCCTGTCTATTCTAGATTCTAGTTCCTGGGAAGTATTCAATATGTGGATAAAAATGTCAAAACATCTAATGCCAAAATGAAACATAAAACCTGTTTAAACATCTGGCTGACTCTATGATCAAACAACAATAACAATTCAAACCAGTTACAATCAGAATTAACTCTAGACAGGATTTGCCAAGTGGATTATAATACACATGAAATTAAACTGTGATACATATGTGGTTTGGGCTATTGTAGTGACCTTTTGAAGTTACAACAGAACTAGAAAAGTGACTTACAGTCTGCCCATTTTTCATATGACCATTGCCGCATCCTCGTGGTCATGTGATCAAACTTTAAATTATTGACAACTGGTTCATATAACAGTTGCAATGTCCCAGGATCATGTGATCACCTTCTGACAAGCAAAGTCAATGCAGAAGCCAGATTCACTTAACAACTATGTTATTAACTTAACAACTGCAAGGATTCACCTGTGGCAAGAAAGATTATAAAAAGGGTCAAAACTCATGTAACAAATGTCTCACTTAGCAACATAAATTTTGGGCTCAATTGTGGTCGTAAGTCAAGGACTACCTGTAATACTGTTGTTTATTATGTGACTGAATTAAAGTTCCTAATAAGCCTTGAGATAAAAGTAAAGTTTGATTTGGCAAAGATGTATATAATAGTGTTTTATTTTTAAAGTGACAAACACTAGTTTACCTACACTTTGCTCTCTCCGGAAATTATAATTTAATATATACAAGGTAGTAGACACAGGCAGGAATACATGAAGGAGAAAAAAATAGCCCCGGAAAACAGATTCAGCAAGTTATGTACCATTGGGAAACCAAACTTTGAAAAATAATAAAATTTACTATGTTGCATCTGTGACCAATTTTCTTCCTTGTATTGTTTGCTCATATTTGAAAACAGTAAGATATTGCCTCAATGGGAACCATAGATAAGATAAAATCTTCAACATAATGCAGAGGATTCAAACTGTGTAATAAGGGAGTTGTCACTATGAAGAGGAAATCTTGGGGGGAAACAGAGACCCACCTAGGTTTGACAGAAGAGCAATCCACGGACTGTTACAGTTGGAACACTGATGCTTAGTCTTGGCAGGGTTAGACTTTTCTAGAAGTCAGTGACTGTTAAGGTTTAAAGAGAGAATCTTAACGGTTCCTTCCCAGCCAATAGATTTTGCCTTGACCACATGTTCTGTCCAGCAGAAAAGGTTTCTACCTCCTCTCTTCCAAATACTTAGGAGCAAATGCACAAATATTCAGATATTTGCCTGATTTGTGTGGTGTGTATCAGTTTTTTTACCTGTGTTTCAAAGCTATTTCTCTGGCCCTTTAAATCAATAACTCCAATTACCTTCCTTCTTATGTAACAGAGATTACGTTCACAGACTGAGAAAAATGAAGACCTTCCACAAAATCTGAGAAATAAAGATGGACTTTGTCTTACTCTGTAAATTCTCAAGGCATAATCTTACGTAAGTATAAAGCAGTGAAGTGCTTTACACTAACGTTGAATTTTTTTTTTTGAAATGTACCAGAAGCAGCAGAACATTTTAGAAGGAGGACATTAAAACATGCCTGGGGAGAAATGTGGGGGAGGGGGGGCAGTTGAAAGTGCCGTTGCTCATTCATGCTCCATGCGTAACGGTTGCTAAGGCATCACGGATCCATGGTCATATGGAAAAACCCACATTAGTGTATGGACCAACGGCCATCAGGGAACAAAGTGTTCAACCTTCATGGAATTTTAAATAAGGTTCTTGGGCTCTTTGATGCCATGTGACCACATTTATCAGCAACAGAATATTAACAGTCTTACCTACTTCCCCATTATAGTTGTGTATATTTTCTTTCTCAAGGTAGAATGAGGTAGTTGGTAACTGGCAGAAGTTACCCTAGGTCTTTCTTCTTCCCTATTGGCTCTCAGCACTGACAGTAGCAGTACCTGCTCTTTATTGCCCGACTGTCCCACAATGATAGTATTTCTGGAAAAAGTTCTTGACCAGATGAGCATAATAGGAGCTATTCTGACCATATATTCTAGCAGGCACAGTCTTATGCACGCAGTATTTGGCTTATGTTAAACAGGATGGTTTTGGTACAAGCAGCCCTCCACTTACAACCACAAACACCATCAGAATTTCGATAGTTAAGTAAGGCAGTTCTAAGTGAATCGTGCCTAATTTTGCAACCTTTTTTTGCCACGGCTGTTAAGTAAATCACTGTAGTTAAGTGAATCACATAGTTGTTAAGCAAATCTGGCTTTCCCCATTGATGTTGCTTGTCGGAAGCCAGCTGGGAAGTCAATGACCAACCACAGGACCACAGGATGCTGCCACCGTTGTGAATACATGCTGATTGTGAAGTGTCCAAATTATGATTATGTGACTGTGGAGATGTTGCAACAGTCATTAGTGCAAGAACTGATCATAAGCCACTTTTTTCAGTGCCACTGTAATCTTGGTCACTAAGCAAATGGTTGTAAGTCCAGAACTATGTAAACTCAGTTACTGCATTTATTTGATCACCAAGCCAAGCAAGAATCACTGGACTTGTCATAGCAAAATGCATGTCCTTCTATGCCTTCTGTTCATTTACAGCCATTCATTTAGTGATTGTTCAAAGTTACAACCGAAAAAAGGGACTTATGACCTTTTTTCACATTTACAACAGCTGCAGCATCCCTATGGTTATGCGATCAAAATT